ATGCACGTAAATTCCTCCACTGGACTCCACTTCTCACCATTTATCAAACTCCTTTGTACGGGGTTAATGAAAGGACTGTATAAGCTGAAATAACCCTTGGAAACTCTGGTGACTTCCGAAGGACTGTTAGAAGACCCTAAGGTCCTCCTCTTTTTCCAGTCTAAAACAAAATCCACCAAATTATAAATTGTAGCTTTGTTTTGGTGGTGGAGCTACAGAGGACTCTATTTTGCTCAGCTTTCTTGTAACATTGTAAAATAATAAAGATGATCCCCCTTTTTTTTAAGAGGCAAAATCTGAAACCCATAAAGAGTGGGTTGCTGGCAGCTTCTAACCTTTGCAGACCCTTTGCAACGATCAAGTTCTTCCATTCCACGTGGCTTCATGTAATCCTCGCAAAACCTGACACATGGATGTTCTCTTTATCTCTCACACGAGGAAGCTGATGGTCTCAGAGGTGTGAGGAAACTAAGGCCACACAGAGTGTGAAGGGCTCAGCTTGACTTCCTGCCTAGGACATCATTAACCCTCAGGCTGGCAGAACCTGATCCGTGGCAATGGCTCAGATGTGAGGGCCCTGTGTTCCCCTGGGGCCATGACTCTGCCTCCTTATGTTGCTCTGTGAGGTAGAACTCACCCTGGACCACATCCCGCTCCAGGGAATGAGAGCATAAACGGTGGCGGTGTGTGTGCGGGGAGTAATGGAGAAGGGTGAAACTGGGATGACAAAAGGCTATATTCTGACATTGCAGGAATATTGGAGAGGCTAGAGGAGGAAAACTGGAAAAGGCTATGCTGGGAATCTCAGGCCAAACCCCCATACTTACAAAATGCTCTGAGAAACATGCCTCACTTACCAGCCATGATGTTTCTTATGTTCCTGTGTTTGGTTCTGTAGAAGAAAAATATTTTCAAATATTCTCTGGTTAAGTTTTGTTCTTAGAAATGTAGGTATTTAGGGGTGCCTCGGTGGCTCAGCCAGTTACATGTCTGACTCTTGGTTTTAGCTCAGGTCATGATCTCCTGGTTCGTGAGTTCGAACCCTGGGTTGGGCTCCATGCTGGCAGTGGACTCAGCTTGGGATTCTCTCTCTCCTTTTCTCTCTGCTTCTCTCTCTCTCTCTCAAAATAAATAAATGAACTTTAAAAAAATTTTAAAAAGAAATATAGTTATTTAATTTTTCCATTACTTCCATCATTAAAACTAGACCATAAAGCTAAATTTTCCTGCCATAGAGAAAGCAGAACCTCAAAGAACCAAGTGACAACAAAAAGTCTTACTTATGCTTCTGCATTCCACTTTAGAGCCTGGAAACATGTGAAGTTTCACTGCAAAGGCCCACCTCTTAAGAAAGAAGTGGTTGCCTAATTGCAAAATTTACTGAGTAATTAATCTGTCATGAGTAACGTTTTTAGAGCTTGCATGGGTTATCTAATTTAATCTCAGTCTTGTTCCAGTCTTAAAGATGAGGAAGCTGATGCCCGGAGAGAGGTTGATTAAGTTGTCTGAGATCACTCAGCTAAGAGGTGATAGAGCCAGGATTTGGGTCTGGGTATCTGGCTCTGGGCCCCTACTTCATCACTCTGTTCCTTGTGTCCTATGTTGGGTATTGTGCTCAGGGCAGGGAATACAGCAGTAAACAAGACAGCTTAGAAGGTCACTGGTTGAGTCTCTTGCCTTGTGGGTCTTTATAGCAATCTCGTAAGGCTGAATTAAAGAGTCTTTATCTCATGCATGAGAAAAACAAAGACGAACATAGGAAAGGCAAACATGTCTTGCTCAAGGTCATAGAAAGACATAGTTGGAAGATAGAATTAGAAAACCAGATGTCTCATAGCTCTTTAATGCCCTTTCTCTGCTCTGGAAGCACTTCCATTCAGCAGACTTGGGGCCAGCGTTAATGCCTCAGCAAATAACCAAAGTTTTGCTCAGGCTGGAGGATGTGCAGTGCCCAGGAACACTGGGAGCCAAAGGTTGGTATTGGATGAAAGAGGGAAAGCAAAACCAGAAAAAACAGATTGGCTTTGAGATTTGGGTGAGACTTTCAGATATAATGTCCCAGGCTTCTGGATAAAAGTGGATTCTGGGACAAGGCAGGGTCTGTGGATGGGTTTTTGGGTGAGTTCAGAGAGGCATATTCAGAGATTCACAGATGTGGTGATGAAGAGACAAGTTTGGGAGTGGAGGAAGGCTCTTTTTGTCAGGACATTTAAGGAAATTATTGTTGGTAAAGAGAAGGTGAATGTTCAAAAAATAGTTCCACTGTAGGGGCTGGTAAGAGACTCTTCTGTTGAATTCACAAATGGCAGCTGGATCAGAACTGGGAATGAGAATCCCCTTACCTGTCATGGTTTATATTTATGTTTAGAGTACAGACTATCCCACAGAAGGCAGAACAGCACTGAAATCCTTTATGGCAGTCTTCCTGCAATGTACAGAAATGAGTACAATTTTCAGGGTCTGATTTGCAGGGTGGCGGTTCCAAGATGCTCCCTGGAACACAGAACAGGAAAGAGAAGGGCTTAAAGTAGGCTGGAGTAACATTCAGAACTCCAAAAGCCTAAGGAACTTCCAGGCAATCAGCCACCCTGATCTTTCTCCTGTGGTTATAGGGAAGTGGAATCAGATTTTGTCTGTAGCTCCTGCCTTTCTCTGAGTTCTCAGCAGGGAAAACCAAGAACTCTGGGTATCTGATTGAAGACAGAGGTAGGCAGAACCCTACACCCACTGGTGATTCACCTCCTTGCAGATCAGATATCTTATAGACCCTGGCTGGGTCCGGTTCAAGGGAATGAACAGTGTGTGGTGAGCAAGAGAGGGGTGTGTAGGTGCATTTGCACTGACTCATTGCATAGCCCCAAACAAGTTGTATGAACTTTCATTAACAACATAGTTTATCTCAGGGTTGACCTAACATGTATTATTTGTGTGTAGGAAGAATGAGTGGGAAGGAAGATTTTGGGAAAGGGCGAAGACCACACAGTAAACTGATGATACTGGCATCAGAATGCTAGAACCCAAATCACAAATGAGTTCTGAGGGCAACTTATTTCATGGAGTTGAGGGTGGGCATTTCAGAATGGGGTACAAAGATTGGCTTTTCTTTCCTCCCAGGTCTCTTCTGATAAGGAAGCCAGAGAACCAGGATGCCCCCACTTTGTACTATTAGAAAAGAATAAGAATCTTCATGCTAACATCCCATTTCTCCCATCTCTTAGTTCTTGGGTCAAAGTCCAGACCACCTACACCAGGAGATCCTACTGCAGGGCTCCAATTCACAATCTTCTTTCTGTTCTTGAACTCCATGGCATTAAGAATAGGCACCATAAACCCCTTTATTGAAGCCAGGCCAGGCGTTAATTTTTGTACTTTGTGACTTGCCCTTTCTCAGGGCAAATGTCATAGGTGGAGCATTCTATAAACCCCTGTTGACTTATTCCTTTGCAAGTATTTGCAATTAGGAGGGGATCCATAAGATATCATACCGACCTGGAAGGAACAAATGATGATGAAGTTGGGGCCTATAATTGTAACAGCAAATGGCACCAGAGGAAAAAGCCAAGGCCCAAGCTATTGACAACTTGGCAGAGACCAGTATGAAGCTCACCCTGGGTCTCCAAGTCATCCCATGGCTCATTAGTTCAGTGCAAGAAATTGGAACTGGCCCCCACTTTGGGGGAGCTTGGGGAATCAATGGAACAGTGTGGGGAAGGAGTCTGTGAGCCAGGGATCTCAGAGAGGCAGATCTTCTCAAGTTTTGCCTCCTTTTCTGGGTATCTGGTCCCAATTTTACTCACAAAGACTTACTAGTCTTTCAGGACCCCTCTTTGTATTTCCTTTCCAATTTTAGTCCTTGAGGGGCCCCTGGGTGTCTCAGTCTGTTAAGTGTCCAACTTTAGCTCAGGTCATGATCTTGTGGCCTGTGAGTTCAAGCCCTGCGTGGGGCTCTGTGCTGACAGCCCAGAGCCTGGAATCTACTTCGCATTCTGTGTCTCCCTCTCTCTCTGCCCCTCCCCAGCTCATGCTCTGTCTCTCTCACTCTCACAAATAAATAAACATAAGAAAATTAAAAAAAATTTAGTCATTTATTCTCCAATTAACTCTACCCTGGATTCCCCCATTCTCTTGCATCTAGTTTAGCCTCCCTCAGTCTTACAAATCTGCGTGCCCTCTCTGAGACCCCTAAAACAGGATCTTCCCTCCCTGTACACCTGAGATAGTACTCACATCCCTCTTCTGAGCCTCAGTATTCTGAGGATGCTCTCTGCATAGAAGGGTGCAGGTATGATGGATAATAGTTCATTTCCCATTTGGCATTGGTCAAAGTCAACATAACATGGTCAGCACTCTTGTTAGGTTGAGCTGGGCAATGGTGGCTGCTGAGATGGACTCTGTACTTTGCCATTGATGACAGTCAGTGGCAATTGTGCAGGTCCCTCTGAATATTTAAAATGTGGAATAGGGGTACCTGGGTGGCTCAGTTGTTGAGTGTCTGACTCTTGATTTTGGCTCAGGTCATGATCTCACCGTTCATGAGTTTGAGCCCTGTGTTGGGCTCCGTGCTGTCAGAGCAGAGCCTGCTTGGGATTCTCTCTCTCTCTCTCTCTGTCTGTCTGTCTCTTTCTCTCTCTCCCTCTCTCTCTCTGCCCTTCTCCCACCTGTGCTCTGTCTCTCTCTTTCTCAAAACAAAGAAATAAACTTTAAAAAATGTGGAATAAAATGTAAGGCTTTCTCTCCTTCCCTCCCAAAACATTCTCCAAGGCAGAGATTATGTAGGTGACAGCTCGAATTCTACCAATGTAATTTTCCTCTCTGTTTTAAAGCTTGAAAAGTTGGCGCATGCATCCGTGAAGGAACTTAGGCAGCAAGAATAACCTGGATGATGAGGCTGATAACATTTGCGGTAGTTAATTCTTATTGAGCATTTACCATGGTCCAGTAAGAGTGCACTCTGTGTGCATGCATTATCTCAGTTTCTCCTCCCAACTGTCCCAAGATCATTGTATCAATTGCAAAGATAAAATCTGAGTCCCAGATACTTTTGTCCAAGACCACTCAGTAAGCACACAGTAGGGATTCAAACCTGGATGTTACTGACAATAACTCTTGGACCTTTGAACATGATACTATATTTTTTTCACAATGTGTATCCTCAGCCCTCAGATCCTCTCATCTCTACAAATGCTGCTTCCCTCCCTGGAGCCCAGACCCAACACGTACTCATAAAATGTTGCTTGGGACTCCCAGACACCCGCTGAGGTGCTAAGTGAATCAACAGCAGAAGTTGAAGAAACAGCACAGGCTTCATGCTGCTGGCAGGATGGGTTGGTAAGTCCTGGCTGAGGACTGCTGGGTTTGACCAGGCACAGCTCAAACGAGAAGAGAGAAAGAGAGAGCAAATTAGAGGCATGGTCATTCATTGTGTATTCCAGTGACACATCCAAGTGCCTCCCAACCACACCCACCCCAGGGACAGGTAGTGTTTTCAAATTCACACCCATTTTATCCCCTAATCTTGGACTTGTTATGTCTCTCATCCATCTTGTTGCTGTCCTTTCGCAAAATTTTAACAATTCTTCCCATGTAGAGTTCTGGCATGTCTTTGTTATATTTATTCCTAGAGACTTGGACTTTTAAAATAAAATTGTAAGCAGTATGGCAACTTTTTGGTTATTTCTTTCTGTCTGTTGCTAATGTAGAGAAATGACTTTCGTGTATTGATCTGTTACTAGCTATCTTGCTAAATTCTCCCCCTGTTCATCTTAATTTCTTGGTGTGTTCCTTGCAGTGTTCTGGGTGGTCATCATCTGCAAATGATGACAATTGTATTTTTCTCTTTAAACTTATGCCATTCTTGGGGCGCCTGTGTGGCTCAGTCGGTTAGGCGACTGACTTCAGCTCAGGTCATGATCTTGCAGCTCGTGAGTTCGAGCCCTGTGTCGGGCTCTGTGCTGACAGCTCAGAGCCTGGAGCCTGCTTCAGATTCTGTGTCTCCCTCTCTCTCTGCCCCTAACCCACTCACATTCTGTCTCTGTCTCTCTCAAAAATAAATAAACATTTAAAAAAAATTAAAAAAAAACTTTATGCCATTCTTAATGCCTTCTTGTGCAGACTAGGGCCTCTATACATTATTGTATAGAAGTGAGGATGTGCATATTCTTGTCTGACACCTGATTTAAAACGAAAGCTTTTTGGGGCATCTGGGTGGCTCTGTCAGTTGAGTGTCCAACTCTTGATTTTGGCTAAGGTCATGATCCCAGGGTTGTGGGATCGAGCCCTGTGTGGGCTTAAGATTCTCTCTCTCTCTCTCTCTCTCTCTCTGCCCCACTCCCCCACTCCCCCACTTATGCACTTACTCTCTCTCTCTAAAATAAGTAAGTAAGTAAGTAAGTAAGTAAGTAAAAATAAAAGCTTCTCGGATTTCCCCTTTTAGGGTAGTATCTGTTTTAGGTTTCTCATAAACATCTTTTATCAGGTCCAGAAAGTTCTCTTTCATTCCTGACAAGAAAATTTTCCTTAATTTATGTGAAGTTATATTTTTGCTTTTTTCTGTTAATGTGTTGAATTACATTTCAGATTTTCTAACATTAAACCATTCTTGCATTTCTCTAGTCATCTAATGTGATCATTTTATATTATCATTTTTCATATCATTTGGTTCAGTTTCCAATTTTTAAGGGATTTTGTATCTATATTCATAAGAGAACTGTGCCTATAACTTGCCTTCCTCATACTGTCCTTGCTTGGTTTTGTAGTAAGTTTGCACTAACCTCATAGAATGTGCTGAAGAGCAGACTTTATCAAATATGTGGGAAATTTTGTGTAAGATAAAGATAATTAGTTACCCGAATCCTTAATTTCCTTTTTTTTTTTCTCGCACAAATATACTCACTTGCACTTTGTTGTTTTCATTTAACAATATATCCTGAAAATTACCCTAAGGCAGCTCGTAGCAATTTCTCCTTTTTTACAGCTGTGTTCTACACTACCATGTACACACAAACTTAGTCATTTGGCCAATCTCCTTTCAATGGGCATTTATGTATTTTCCAAGATTTTGCTATTACAAATATGCTTCAGTGAACAACCATATGCATATTTTCTGTATTGTTGAAGGTGTAACATCAGGGTAAATGTTTGTAGGTATTTTTGTTGCCTAAAAGGGTAAATTTATACGTACTTTTGTTAGATATCACTAAATTCTACTCCATAAAGTTTATACTATTTTGTACTGCCACCAACCATGTGAGCATGGGTGTTTCCCGTAACAGACTGTATGGTCGTGTTTTTGAATTTTTGCCAAAATAAGTGAGGAGTGTTACCTCTGTGGTTGTTGTGGTTCATTCACATTGTAGTATGTATGAGTACTTTATTCATTTTATATCTGAATAATATTCCATTGCATGTATATGCCACAACTTGCTTATCCATTCATCTGTTGATAGACATTTGGGTTGTTTCCATTCTTTGGTGATTGCAAATAGTGCACTACAAATGTTTGTGTACAAGTAATTTTTTTAGCACCTATTTTTACTTCTTTTTAGTATATATAGATATACATATATACGTATATATGTATATATACATATTCTTTGGGGTATAATAGCTAGCAGTGGAATTGATGGGTTATATGTTTAACTTTTGAGGAAATTTCAGGCTGCTTCTACAGTTGTTGAACTATTTAACATACATTTTTTATCACTAATGCATAGGAGTTCCAATTTCTCCACATCCTTGCCAACTCTTATTCTCTTCCCTCTCTTCTTCTTCTTCTTCTTCTTCCTCTCCTCCTCCTCCTCCTCCTCCTCCTCCTTTGTTTATAGTCATCCCTGAGAGTGTGAAGTGGTATTTACTTGTGGTTTTGACTTGCATTCTCCTAATAACTAATGATGTTGAGCATCTTTTCATGTGCTTGCTGACCATTTCTGTTTCTTCCTTGGAGAAATGTCTGTTCAAGTCCTTTGCAACTTTGTCACTGGGTTATCTTCTTTGAATTGGAAGAGTTATTTTTATATTCCAGACATTAGACTTTTATCAAACATATATTTTTCAAATATATTTTACCGCTTTATGTGTTGTCTTTTCACCTTTTTGATAGTCATTTGGTGCACGAGTGTTCTTAACTTTGATGAAGTCCAACTCACCTATTTTGTTGATGTTGTTGCTATGCTTTTGATGCCATTTCTTGCCTAATATGAGGTCATGATGATTTACCTCTACACTTTCATCTTAGAATTTTATAGCTCTTATATTTAAATCATTGATCAACCTTGAATGAACTTTTGTATATGGTGTGATATAGGGGCCCAGTTTCATTCTTTTGCATTTAGATATCTTCTGCAAATGGTCTCAATACCATTTGTTGATGTGACTATTCTTGGTCTTGATGCCCTTGTTAAAAATCATTGGCCATAGATGTGTGGGTTTATTTCTGGACTCTCGATTCTATTTGTTTTTGTTTTTAATGTTTATTATTTTTGAGAGAGAGACAGAGTGTGAGCCAGGGAGGGGCAGAGAGAAAGGGAGACACAGAATCTGAAGCAAGTTCCTGGTTCTGAGCTGTCAACACAGAGCCTGATGTGGGGCTCGGACTCACGGACCATAAGATCATGACCTGAGCTGAAGTTGGACGCTCAACCACTGAGCCACCCAGGCACCCCTCAATTTTATTTGTTAATCTATATGTCTGTCCTCATGCAAGTACCACACTCTTCATTATTGTAGCTTTGTAGTAAGTTTTGAAATTGAGAAATGTGAGTTCTCCAATTTGTAGTACTTTATCAGTATGTTTTTGTGTATATGGCATGCCCCTTGAACTGATAAGAACAGATACTACACTTGATCTTAGCCAAAAGGCCGAGAAGCGATGGCATGCCCCTTGAAATTCCATGTGAATTTGAGGTTTGGCTTCTTCATTTCTGAAAAAAAAAAAAAAAGCCATTGGAATTTTATGTGGGATTCCATTGCATCACCATTTTAACACTCTAGATCTTCCAATCCACACATATGGGATGTCTTTTAATTTATTTAGGTCTTCCTTAATCTCTTTTTTTTTTTTTTTTCACAATGGCTAAAATTTTTATTTATTTATTTATTTTTATTTATTTTTTTTTATATATGAAATTTATTGTCAAATTGGTTTCCATACAACACCCAGTGCTCATCCCAAAAGGTGCCCTCCTCAATACCCATCACCCACCCTCTCCTCCCTCCCACCCCCCATCAACCCTCAGTTTGCTCTCAGTTCTCAACAGTCTCTTATGCTTTGGCTCTCTCCCACTCTAACCTCTTTTTTTTTTTTTTTCCTTCCCCTCCCCCATGGGTTCCTGTTAAGTTTCTCAGGATCCACATAAGAGTGAAACCATATGGTATCTGTCTTTCTCTGTATGGCTTATTTCACTTAGCATCACACTCTCCAGTTCCATCCACGTTGCTACAAAAGGCCATATTTCATTTTTTCTCATTGCCACGTAGTATTCCATAGTGTATATAAACCACAATTTCTTTATCCATTCATCAGTTGATGGACATTTAGGCTCTTTCCATAATTTGGCTATTGTTGAGAGTGCTGCTATGAACATTGGGGTACAAGTGCCCCTATGCATCAGGACTCCTGTGTCCCTTGGATAAATTCCTAGCAGTGCTATTGCTGGGTCATAGGGTAGGTCTATTTTTAATTTTCTGAGGAACCTCCACACTGCTTTCCAGAGTGGCTGCACCAATTTGCATTCCCACCAACAGTGCAAGAGGGTTCCCGTTTCTCCACATCCTCTCCAGCATCTATAGTCTCCTGATTTGTTCATTTTGGCCACTCTGACTGGCGTGAGGTGATACCTGAGTGTGGTTTTGATTTGTATTTCCCTGATAAGGAGCGACGCTGAACATCTTTTCATGTGCCTGTTGGCCATCCGGATGTCTTCTTTAGAGAAGTGTCTATTCATGTTTTCTGCCCATTTCTTCACTGGGTTATTTGCTTTTCGGGTGTGGAGTTTGGTGAGCTCTTTATAGATTTTGGATACTAGCCCTTTGTCCGATATGTCATTTGCAAATATCTTTTCCCATTCCGTTGGTTGCCTTTTAGTTTTGTTGGTTGTTTCCTTTGCTGTGCAGAAGCTTTTTATCTTCATAAGGTCCCAGTAATTCACTTTTGCTTTTAATTCCCTTGCCTTTGGGGATGTGTCGAGTAAGAGATTGCTACGGCTGAGGTCTGAGAGGTCTTTTCCTGCTTTCTCCTCTAGGGTTTTGATGGTTTCCTGTCTCACATTCAGGTCCTTTATCCATTTTGAGTTTATTTTTGTGAATGGTGTGAGAAAGTGGTCTAGTTTCAACCTTCTGCATGTTGCTGTCCAGTTCTCCCAGCACCATTTGTTAAAGAGACTGTCTTTTTTCCATTGGATGTTCTTTCCTGCTTTGTCAAAGATGAGTTGGCCATACGTTTGTGGGTCTAGTTCTGGGGTTTCTATTCTATTCCATTGGTCTATGTGTCTGTTTTTGTGCCATTCCTTAATCTCTTTCAGCAATGTTTTTGGTGCCCAAGTTTTTCACCTTCATGGTTACATTTACTCCTAGATATTTTATCTTTTTGTATCTTATTATAAATTGAATTGTTTTCTTAATTTTGCTTTTGGATTGCTAACTGTTGATGTATAGAAACAGTTGATTTTTGTGTGTTATTTTTATACTTTGCAACTTTGGTGAATTTGTTTATTAGCTCTACTAATTTTTTGTGTGGATTCTTGGGGGAATTTCTCTACATGGGATCATGTCAGTTGCAAAAAGACAGAATTTTATTTCTTTCTTTCCAATTTAGATGGCTTTTTCTTGCTTAATTGCTTTGGCTAAAACTTCCAGTGCAATGTCAACCAGCAATAATGACAGTTGGATTTTTGTCTTATTCCTGATCTTGGGAGGAAAGCTTTCACTCTTTCACCACTGAATATGATGATAGTGGTGTATTTTTCATAGATATCTTTAATCATGCTGAGGAAGTTCTTTCTGTTGCTAGTTTCATGGCTGTGGTGCATTTGTAAAATGTCTCTTCTGTTTCATTGAGAGTATCATGTAATTTCCCCCCCTTCTTTATATTAATGCATTTGATTACATATCACTGAAATAGATAAAAGTTTCATAGTTTTTAAAAATAAGCTATATCTGTGTACTGAAGGAGACTGTACTTGGAGTTTAGAATATCAAAACAAGGTTCAAATCTTCACTGCTCTCCAGCTTCTTCCCAGCTTCCCAGCCTATTGGGAGCCCAGTGTCCACAGGTTTCCCCTTTTTCTCCTCTTAGGGGAAAGTCAACTTCTTCATTTCTGAGAGCATATAATATTTCTCCGCAATATTTACACTCAATAACCACCTTCTCCTGGAGAACCTGCCCTGGGCTCTTGGCTGACAGATCTCCTCTTCTGTCTGAGCTCTAAGATACTTACTGTGTGCTCCTATTCTTCCCATGTCCTCTTCTAGTCTCTCTGTATATAACATTTTTTATTATATTAATTACTTAGAATTAATATATATTAATAAATCTGGAAAATGTGTGTTAATATATATTTTAAACTTTATTAAGATATAATTGATCTATTTCAAAATTTTTTCAAGCAGGAAAAAAAAAACATGTGTGTAATATATGAAATTATATATGTAATATATTGTTTTCCAGCCTTATTAAGATATAATTGATATAACATTGTATAAGTTTAAGGTGTACAATGTGTGGATTTGATATGCTTATATATTGTAAAATGATCTACCACTCCATCACATCACTTACTTATCATTTCTTATTTGTAGTGAGAACACATAAGATCTACTCTCTTAGCAACTTTCAACTAGGTAATATGGTCTTGTTATCTATAATCACTATGCTGTATGTTAGATCCCCAAATCTATTCATCTTATAACTAGAAGTTTATACCCTTTGCCAACATTTACCCATTCTCCAGTCTCCAGCCAATCATTTTACTCTCTGTTTCTAACAGTTAAGCATTTTTAGATTCCATATAGAGGTGTTATCATACAATATTTATCTTTTTCTGTCTGACATTTTACTTAACACAATGCCTCAAGTTTTATCCACGTTGTCAAAAATGGCAGCATTTCCTTCCTTCTCAGGGCTAAATAATGTATATATATTATATATAACATATTGTATATTATATAAATATATAATATATAATAATATATATTTATATATAATATAATATATATATATATATATATATATATATATATATATATATATATACACACCACATCTTTTTCATCTATTCAACCATTGATGGACTGAGGTTGTTTTTATATCTTCCTGCAAAAATAATGTTTTCTTCTTTTCTGTAAATTATTTTATAATTAGAATATAGAAATATTATTTCTTTCAGGGAAAAAAATTTTGTGTGCAAAAGAGGGGTTTAGATGTGTGAAAGGAGAGTTGTCTGCAGAAGCCCTAGTGCCACAGAGAAAAGGTCATGGTAAAGGCAGGCAAAGGAGAGGAAATGTCTTTGGCCAGTGGAAGCAGGGAGGAGCCTGGGATAACCACCCAGCTCTCCAAGGAAGCCTGTGCCAGACTGAGAGCTCTCCTCTCTGGCCAGAGTCATGCCAACCCAGGCTCTCCTGCCCATGCTTCTCCTCTCTGTGCTGCTGCTACAGGCCCAGGGAGGGCACCGTAAACTGAACAGGATGCAGGGTAGGTGATGGACTAAGGGGGTGGGGAGGGAAGGGGCAAGAGGTGCTGTGTCGCTTCTGGGGAGGACCTGGAAACTGGAACCTTTCAGCACATCCTGCTCTGACTACAGCACTATGAAGACTCTGGGTCTTCCAAAGTCATGGCCCTCTGGCCCCTTTACCCCGCACTGGGAACAATAATGGGGGTGGGGGGGAACCTACGTCTTTTGACTCTCCATTCCAAATACTAGGACACAAATGGTACATAGTGTAGTGAAAGGTACATCAGGGCTGAAAATCACTTGGGGACACCCAACCACTATTCTTGGATTTCTGCACGTATGTGATCTCTAAAGATCCGGAGATATTGATGGGAGTGGGTACAGAATGAAAGGGCCCTGGGAAAATAAGCTTTGGGGTGTCCAGAGTCAAGTCAAAGTTCTCATCAGAGGACCAGGATGGTGGCAGCAGAAGGGAAATAGTGCAAGTGGTATTTTCTGGGAAGGGGCAGGGGTCCTGGACACAGTGACAGGTCATCTTCCTCTCTGGACCCTGCAAATCCTGGGGAGTGAGAGGGTCTGCGGGGTGTCTCAGACTTTGCTGAGTTCTCAGAGTGTAGATTCTATGGGGGTGACTTCACCAAGACCATGACAAACATGGGAGACAGGTTCCTGTCTGCAGAGAAAGGAGAGGGCCCAGGGAGGCCAGGCATTGAGATCTGTTGGGGCAGAAGGTGTGTGGGTGGAGGGATATAGGATTTAAGATACTACAATCACCAGGTTTGGGTAAAGGGAAGAAATTGCGTTCCCTGAAAAGTTCAAGAGCATCATGAGTAGGACTTGGGTTTTAGGGTTTTTGGGAGAGGATTTAAGCTTGAGAGGAGTGCTCTTGAGGGATCTGGTTCCACTGACTCTGATTCTGCTCTTTTTAGGTCTAAAGGCCTATGAGAAGAAGCCCAGCGTGTATCTTTGCAGTAATCACTGTTCATATTTTCTAAAGTGTCCAAAAGCAAATACTGTATGTTGTTCAACCTTCTGTGGGAACGTTTGCATGAGCCTCCAGTGAGGGGGTGAGGGCGCTGGACTTTGCGTTCTGCTCCCCCAAACTTCTATACAGATCAAAGCACAAGGACCTCAGATCCTGGGCACCAGGATGTCAACGGGAGCACACCTTTACCCTGTCTGAACTGTTTGTTCCTGTCAAATAAACCAGAACAAATGTCCACAGACCTGCCTATCTTACTCCCAGGGCTTATAGTCATTGAGGACCCAGTGCAGACCCCAGAGCGCTCCCTTCTCTGGGTCCAGGGCTCTGATCTCTCCCCCCTTGTGATGTTTCTTTATTTTCTCTCCCATTGGCCCCTGCTCCCCCACCAGGGCCCCGAGGCCCAGCCTCATTGTTGATCTGCTCATTGAACCAGTGATGCCAGGGAAGAAACTGCTCATGTGTGGTACCTTCCAATGCTAACCAGAACACTCCTCAGCCTGGAGTCAGAAGGGCCAAGTTAAACATGAGGTGGGGTGGGGCTACACTCTGGGGCACAAAGTAGGAGGTCCCCAAGGAGGCTTCTTCTTAAATTTAATCCACCTCCATCCTGTTCTACCCATTCTCCTTGTGAGGTTCAGATTACCATATGTTTACAATATAGAAAACCAATCGCAGGGAGTTAAGTGACATGCTTGAGGCCAAAAGACAGTGAGAGGTCATGTTGTGGCTAGAGGAGGATGTTCGTCTGGACTCCCTGTTTGCTCACTGCTCCTCCATTATTGTGAGAACATGGGTGTGGAAGTGAGTGCCTACACTATTGTCTCCCACCCCATCCTCCATCAATATGGCCTCTTTTGTGATGGGGCACGGAATGGGGTCCCAGGACCTGAGACTCCAGTGTCTTCCATCAAATGAATGGTCCCCACCTTTCCCCAATCCTCCTCCTCATGGTCTCATTCTCTCTCTCTTTTAACCCAGAAAGAAGCCAGGTGGTGGGGAACAGGTGGTTCACGGTGATGCTACTAAGGATTAATTGGCCACTAAGGAGTCAGTATGAGTGTTGCCCGTAGTCTCATGGTGAATCAGTGGAATTCTGTGCAAGCAGAGCTCCTCTGAGGTTGTCCTGGGACTAAATCCAGGGACTAGGTCACATGTGCCCAAAGGGGACTTGGAGTCAAGTGTGAAGAACTCAGGCAGGTAGGCAGGGCTTGCTGGAGGCAGGTGTGCAGTGTTAAACTCCAGGGCAGTGCTTCCTGTGGGCATCAGTGAGGATTTCCCACAGAAGAAACCAGCATTCCTCAGGCCAGAGTCTATGGCCCACCTCAGAAGCATCCCAGGGCTCCTGGTATTGGAGGAGCTTCTCCACCTATCCTGGGAGCTGGGACTAGGAGACTGTAGGAAAGAGATCATTATCCATTAGCAGCACAGACATCATCAGATGTAGGTGGATGGTAAGGGCATGCCCTGTGGGAGATCTTAGCGGGTGCTTCCTCAGACAACCTGACTCTGCAAGCATCTTCCCAGTGCTTGGCCATGCCCCCGAACACCCTGGGAGAGACTATTAAGAGAGGCAAAGCTACCTGCCAGGGCCCACATAGAGAATGACCTCCACGTCCATGACCAGTGTTCCTTCCTATGTGGGCACACCATGCTGCCAGCTGACCTATTCCTTGCCACCAGTGTGAGCACCCCAGACCATGAATTCTACTGGAAGGATCTGGTTTTCTCCATTGTGATAACTCGTGTCTTGGCCTGTTCCCCAGAGCTCTCTGGACACTCCACATTGCCTCACTGGACTGAGAGGCCACGTCTAGACTGCTTTGGCTGGGAGGAGTGCTTGCCTGGCCAGCACTGCAAGTTCTGTGGTATGGGACAACTGTGTGCCCCTGTGGTAGATCAAGCGGAGGAGTGGGGACCCCTGCAAGACCCTGAATCTCATGGAGGCAGAGGAGGAAGCGAATGTAAATTGTGCCATGGCTTGGGTCTCCAGAAAGCCAAGTCCCAGCTGAGGAGAATCGTTGATCAGGCTGGTCTGTCTGTGAGAAACAATGGCCTTGCAGTTGCCCTGGTTTCTGCACCATTCTCTTCTCATGCCCCAGACATGCTTTAGCAAATTTTTTCTTCGCAAGTTCTCATCATGGTATAGAAGTAGCTTTCTCATATGCAGGGACTCAGCCACATGCCTTCACTATCTTAGTCAGGACTAAGTCATCTCCTTGGCCCTGTGACATGATAGAGGTTGAAGAGACTTTGATTACTTGATATCCCACAGGACATCATGCTGGTCTCTCAGGTCACTTACATTGTGCTAACTGACCACGGGGAAATAGTAGGTATCCTACATGCTTTATCACGTTTATGCCAGAGGATAAGACTTTCTATCTGGTGTATTTTCAGAGATCCACTGGTCTAGGTCATATGGAGACATTCTCTTGAGACAGGAGACAACTTCCTGCACCTTGTATTGTTCACCATGAAGCAAGAGAAAATGCATAGTGGGCCTCTGGGTTTTGGAGATGACAAATGTCACTTTTGGGCATTCTCTATTTCCTTGGGAAATATAAGGCTGCTAGTTTTTTTAATTTTTTTATTTTTTCAGAGTTTCTTATTTATTTATTTATTTATTTATTTATTTATTTATTTATTTTTAACGTTTTATTTATTTTTGAGACAGGGAGAGACAGAGCATGCACAGGGGAGGGTCAGAGAGAGGGAGACACAGAATCTGAAACAGGCTCCAGGCTCTGAGCTGCCAGCACAGAGCCTGATGCGGGGCTCAAACTCACGGACCGCGAGATCATGACCTGAGCTGAAGTCGGCCGCTTAACCAACTGAGCCACCCAGGCACCCCCAGAGTTTTTTTCTTTTTTAAGTCCAAGTTAGTCAACATATAGTATAATAATAATTTCAAGAATAGAACTTAGTGATTCATCACTTACATATAACACCCAGTGCTCATCCCAACCAATGCCTCCTTAATGCCCATTGCCCGTTTAGCCCATCCCCCCACCCAACACCCCGCCAACAACCATCAGTTTGTTCTCTGTATTTAAAAGTCTCTTATGGTTTGTCTCCCTCTCTGTTTCTATCTTATTTTTGCTTCCCTTCCCCTGTGTTCATCTGTTTTGTTTCTGAAATTCCACATATGAGTGAAATCATATGATACTGGTCTTTCTCTGACTGACTTATTTTGCTTAGCATAATACACTCTAGTTCTATCCACATTGTTGCAAATGGCAAGATTTCATTCTTTTTGATGGGCGAGCAATATTCCATTTATATGTACGTTACATCTTCTTTATCCATTCACCAGTAGGTGGATATTTGGGCTCTTTCCATACTTTGGCTGTTGTCGATAGTGCTGCTATAAACATTGGGGTGCAGGTGCCCCTTCGAAACAGCATTTTTGTATCCTTTGGATAAATACCTAGTAGTTCAATTGCTGGGTCATGGGGTAATTCTATTTTTAATTTTTTGAGGAACCTCCATACTGTTTTCCAGAGTGGCTGCACCAGTTTGCATTCCCACCAACAGTGCAAGAGGATTCCCCTTTCTCCACATACTTGCCAACATCTGTTGTTGCTTGAGTTGTTAATGTTTGCCATTCTGACTGGTGTGAGGTGGTATCTCATTGTGGTTTTGATTTGTATTTCCCTGATGAAGAGTGATGTTGAGCATCTTTTTGTGTGTCCGTTAGCCATCTGGATGTCTTCTTTGGAAAAGTGTCTATTCGTGCCTTTTAAGGCTACTAGTTTTGAGTAAGACCCAGATTAAGAAAAGATTCTGCAGCATGACCAGGGTATGTTGAAAGTTGCCTGCCAGTTGGGTCTTAGCACCTAGCCTATGCATTTTACTAAATGTGTCTCTGGTGGATTAAGATGCTGGATAGAACATTTGCATACTCAAGTAGGAGAATCACAGAACACATACTTGGAGTATTGAGGTCAAGCCTTGTCCTCTTCTGTTGACAAGTGCTTTCCATTTGAGAAGCATCTCTTTACTTGCTAGTGGACCCCAGTAAAAAAACTGAATGTCTGACCATGGGACATTGAGTCACTTTGAAACTGGAATTATCCATCACAAATTGGGAGCTATCTGACCTATGAAGTCTTAAAATGGGATGTGTATAGAGGCAGTCCATTGTCAAATAGAAATGGTATAAATGAGACTGGGCTTGATCAGATAATTTCTTCTGGAAATGAGCAACCTATGTAATCAGGTATTTGGGCTCCAAAGACCCACTGATATCTCCTCTTGCTTCATTCTTGCCTGCTGCCACTAAGTCTCCAACAGGGGCTCCCCTTTCCACACATGCATTCCCTAAGAAGTGGTGTCTTTTAATATCTGCCTATTTGGGTCCCTTGGGTCCCTTCCTTATGGTTTCTTAGGAACCAGAGAGACCTGATCTACCAAGTATCAGCCTTGTGTTCTATGCTAAGCCCCCTGCTCATATCTCATTTCCATACAATCTGTGTATGTCTTTGCCATTAACCTAAAATATAAAACTGGCAGTTATTTTTACCAGCAAGAATAGGTTAACTTGGGAATAGCAGAGAATTGCAAATCAGGGCTAACAAGCTTCAACAGAAGAATAGGCAAGTCCAGAGAAGAAAGGAGAGGAAGGTTCTTTTATAGAGGAAAGTGGGAATTAACAGGGAGTTCCAACTAGAATGGCTTTTCATTGGTTGTGATAGTCTCTTATTGGGTGGGCTATTGCCAGGGGAGGAGGAACACCTTTCGTCTTGCTGTGACAAAAAAGCTAAGGTACTATCCACTTTCTGGGAACATTTCCTGTTGGGTCAGCAATTGATAACAAGTAGTGTGGTAGGAGCACTCCCCCTGGTGGCCTCCCAACTCCATTTCAGTGAGGTTTTCCTTTATTAATTTTCACATTGCATCTATGTGGATGCCAACACTACTAATCCAAATCTGCTGGATATGAGTGTTTTATTTCTCTGCTCACAGATTCTTTGAAATTTGTAGCATTCTCTATTTCCTCATTAGGCTGTGGCTATGGGTTATAGATTGATTTATTTGCTTTCCTTGTTGAACTGTATTTTTCATTTTGTTTTGTTTTGTTTTAGGAAAAAGATCTTATAACACCTGATGGGATGAACTCTATTCTTCCCATTCTTACATGTGAGTAAATGACGTTTCAGAGAAATGAGACGACTTACCTAAAGTCTTTCAGTTAGCAAGTGGTGGAGGTGAGTTTCAAATCTGTCTGATGAACCTAAGGTCTGTGAGTATGACACTATACAACTGTGCACTTCCAATCGATAATACATTGGCTCCTCTGAATGACATTCTGGATCATCTATGGTTCAGGATCAGGATGAGGGAAAATGGGTTGACCCATATTCTGTTGGTGCAAGTATAACCCAAACATTATGAAGGGAGAATTGGCAACATTTATGCACAGATTAAATTGTGTGTATTTTCATTTCTTCTCACATTGGCTTTCCCAAGGAATGAAGAAATGCTCAAGGATTTAGTTATAAGAACGTAACTAATAATAGTGAAATGATTGCTTACAATAGGGAAAAACTGGAACAACCAAGATGTCAATAACTGGTGATTAATTGGCAGACCAATCTCTTAATCAATGAAGTTGTAGAAAATATTTAAGACTATGGGAAAATATTCATTATAAATGTTAAATTTTAAAATAGTCACAGGATTTTCCACTATAATTTTTCTACTTTTATTGTGATAAAATACACATAAATCTAACCATTTTTCTTTTTTTAATTTTCTCTTTTTTTTAAAAATTTATATCCAAATTAGCATATAGGGCAACAATGATTTCAGGAGTAGATTCCTTAGTGCCCCTTAGCCATTTAGCCCATCCCCCTCCCACAACCCATCCAGTAACCCTCTGTTTGTTATCCATATTTAAGAGTCTGTTATGTTTGTCCCCCTCACTGTTTTTATATTATTTTTACTTCCCTTCCCTTGTGTTCATCTGTTCTGTGTCTTAATGCCCTCATATGAGTGAAGTCATATGATACTTGTCTTTCTCTGACTAATTTCACTTAGCATAATACCCTCCAGTTCCATCTACGTAGTTGCAAATGGCAAGATTTCATTCTTTTTGATTGGCGAGTAATACTCCATCGTATACATATACCACATCTTCTTTATCCATTCATCAGTTGATGGACATTTTGGCTCTTTCCATACTTTGGCTATTGTTGATAGCGCTGCTATAAACATTGGGGTGCATGCGCCCCTTTGAAAGAGCACACCTGTATCCCTTGGATAAATACCTAGTAGTGCTATTGCTGGGTTGTAGGGTAGTTATATTTTTAACTTTTTGAGGAACCTCCATACTATTTTCCAGAGTGGCTGCACCAGCTTGCATTCCCACCAACAATGTGAAAGAGATCCTCTTTCTCTGCATCCTCGCCAACATCTGTTGTTGCCTGGGTTGTTAATGTTAGCCATCCTGACAGGTGTGAGGTGGTATCTCATTGTGGTTTTGATTTGTATTTCCCTGATGATGAGTGATGTTGAGCATTTTTTCATGTGTCGGTTGGCCATCTGGATGTCTTCTTTGGAGAAGTGTCTATTCATGTCTTTTGCCCATTTTTTCACTGGATTATTTGTTTTTTGGGTGTTGAGTTTGAGAAGTTCTTTAAAGATTTTGAATACTAACCCTTTATCTGATATGTCGTTTGCAAATATTTTTTCCCATTCCGTTGGTTGCCTTTTAGTTTTGCTGCTTGTTTCCTTTGTGCAGAAGTTTTTTATTTTGATGAGGTCTCAGTAGTTCATTTTTGCTTTTGTTTCCCTTGCCTCTGGAGATGTGTTGAGTAAGATGTTGCTGCAGCCAAGATCAAAGAGGTTTTTCCCTGCTTTCTCCTCGAGGATTTTGATGGATTCCTGTCTTACCTTTAGGTCTTTCATCCATTTTGAATTTATTTTTGTGTATGCTGTAAGAAAAGTGGTCCAGGTTCATTTTTCTGCATGTTGCTGCCCAGTTTTCCCAGCACCACTTGCTGAAGAGACTGTCTTTATTCCATTGGATATTCTTTCCTGCTTTGTCAAAGATTAAGTTGGCCATATGTTTGTGGGTCCATTTCTGGGTTCTCTATTCTGTTCCATTGATCTGAGTGTCTGTTTTTGTGCCAGTACCATACTGTCTTGATGATTACAGCTTTGTTTTTTTTTTTTTTAATTTTTTTTCAACATTTATTTATTTTTGGGACAGAGAGAGACAGAGCATGAACGGGGGAGGGGCAGAGAGAGAGGGAGACACAGAATCGGAAACAGGCTCCAGGCTCCGAGCCATCAGCCCAGAGCCTCCTGACGCGGGGCTCGAACTCACGGACCGCGAGATCGTGACCTGGCTGAAGTCGGGCGCTTAACCGACTGCGCCACCCAGGCGCCCCGATGATTACAGCTTTGTAATACAGCTTGAAGTCTGGGATTGTGATGCCTCCTGCTTTGGTTTTCTTTTTCAAGATTGCTTTGGCTATTCGGGGTCTTTTCTGGTTCCATACAAATTTTAGGATTGTTTGTTCCAGCCCTGTGAAGAATGCTGGTGTTATTTTGAAAGGTATTGCATTGAATATGTAGATTGCTATGGTTAATATTGACATTTTAACAATATTTGTTCTTCCTATCCAGGAGCATGGAATCTTTTTCCATTTTTTTGTGTCTTCTTCAATTTCTTTCATAAGCTTTCTATAGTTTTCAGTGTAGAAAAAATTAAAGAAAAATATTTTTAATAGAAATTGAAAATAAAAATAAATTTTTTTCCCTTTCTGTATTCAAGAAAAAGAAATGAAACGACAAAGGGGGAAAAAAAAGAAAAGTGAATAGATGGACCTGCGAGCAGACTGAAATACGATTGAAATTACTTCGTTTTCCCCTAGAAGTCAAACTATGAAGCACTTTATTGTCTGTAAACTAAGCAGGTGGAGAGATTTGTGTTCCTGAAGAGCGAGGTTGGCCCAGTGGGTGGGGCTTAGTGTAATGGCTCCGTTCTCCACTAGATGGCGCTGCTCAGCTTACTGGTGTGAACTGTTGTGGCGCCTGTAGGTGTGTACACGCATGCGCGGGAGCAGTGAAAAATGGCGTCACCCAGCTACCCGGTCTCTAGTGTTGTAACTCTGTTCTGCCCGACCCCCAATTGCGCACTGGTCCTTTGTCTCCAGCTTCCATCCACTCCCCGCTTTTACACAGTCCTGACCAAGTCCCAGGCAGCACCTCTCTCCTGAGTTTTCTCTCAGATGTGGCCGTGTTTCCCGACCCCTTACTTCTGAAGGGCTGCGGCTTTGACCCATCCTGCCCCTCTGCGAAAGGGTCTCACCGAGCAGTGGCCGGGTGCCAGCGGCACCCAGGAACGTTGGCGGGACCGTGCTGCTGCGGAAGCCCAGAGACCCGGCCGGGTGCCAGCCCGCCCCAGAAAGAGTTCACGCGGTTGTGTAGCAGCAGCGCTTCAGGGATTATGGAAAATCACAACACGCATTTGGCACCAGGCTTCACCCCCAGCGACCTTATTCCAGCACCAGCGAATGTGGTTGTTCACCCGGGTCCACTGGGGCACACAGCCTCTACCAGATGTCCTCCAGAGAGGGAAATCGCCTCTCCCCTGTGGCCCGAAGACCCCCGGACTTCGCTCTGCTCCTGGGGATTCACCCTTCTCACCAGAGCACCGCCAGGTATCGAGCTGCAGAGTTTCAGACTCTGCGTTCCCCGTTTATAGTCTTAATGGAATTTAAACCCTCTCCTTTCTCTTTTCTTCCTTTTTAGTTCGGTCCCTGCAGCTGTTTCCACTTTTCCACTTTCTCTCCAGCTGCTTTTGGGGGGGGTGCTTTCCCACATTCTACGCCCCCCCCATCTCCGTCCTCTCTCCACAAGCAAAAAACAGCTCCCTGCCCTCAGCGGCTTCTCTCTCCCCCAGTTCATCTCTCTGCACCACGTATCTGCTGAGTTCTGTGGTTCATGTTGTGCAGATTGTTGTGTTAATCCTCAATTCAGTTTTCTAGGTGTGCAGAATGGTTTAGTGTTGATCTGGTTGTATTTCATGGATGCGAGACACACAACCTTCCATGGTGTTCCCAGGTTTTTTACATATGGCTTTAATTATGTTGAGGTGGTGTTCTACTCCCAGTTTGTTTTTATTATGAAAGGCTGTTGAGATTTGTTGAGTGATTTTTCTGCATCAATTGAGATGATCGTGTGTTTTTTTTCCCTTCCATTCTTTTAATGTGGTATATTATGTCAATCATTTTTCATATATTAAAGTATTCTTGCATTTCAGGAATAAATTTAACTTGATCGTGAGTGATGTATAATCCTTTTAGTACACTGCTCAATTCAGTTTGATATTATTTTGTTGAGGTCCAGAACTTCTCTTTGGTGGAGGTTTTTGCTGAGATTTTTGATTCAGTTTTTCAGATTAGTTATAGGTAAGGGACCTGGGTGGCTCAGTCGGTTGAGCATCTGACTTCGGCTCAGGTCATGATCTTGAGGTTCGTGAATTTGAGCCCTGTGTTGGGCTCCGTGCTGCCAGCTCAGAGCCTGGAGCCTGTTTCAGATTCTGTGTCTCCCTCTCTCTCTGCCCCTCCCCCACTCGTGCTCAGTCTCTCTGTCTCTCTCTCAAGAGAAACTGGGGACTTGACCATCTGGCATACATGGCTCTAGACTCACTTCCTTTTAAATCCTGTACCTGGCACTTCCTAGCTGTGTGGCCTTGGGCAAGTTGCTTAACTCTTCTGTGCCTCAGTTTCTGTATCTGTAAAATAAGAATAATAGTAGTACTAAACTCATAGTGTCATTGAACATATGTATTAATTAATACATGTTACATATCTGACACGTAGTAAATTTGCTCTTAAACTGAATGATTCTCAACACTTCATTGGGCGAGTGTTTCATTTGTTTATTTAACAAACAAACATAGACTGTATGCCAGACTTTGGCTCTAAGTGCTTAACACATAATCACTCCTGGAGCCTTCACAACAACCTTATTGGTTGGAAAGTGCTATTATTATCCCCATTAGCAAATGAGGAAATTAGGGTGCAGAGAAGATTAGTGACTTGCCCAAGTAAGTGGAAGCTAGGATTTGGATCCAGATAAAGTGTGTGTGTGTGTGTGTGTGTGTGTGTGTGTGTGTGTGTGTACAAATGTATGTATTTATGAGAGTGGGCGCAAGTGAGCGAGAGAGAGAGAGAGAGAGAGGGAAGCGGAGCTCACCCAAAGAGGGGCTTAAGTCTGTGTTTTAAATTTCTATGTTATGTGGACTTTTGCAAGCTCTCTTGGCAGACCTCTCTCTTCTCATCAGCACAAAAGTCACAAGACACTGGTGATAAAGTAATGTAGGCTGATCCTAGCAATGGAGAAATTAATATCAAAGACGAATGGGGCTTTACAAAAATCTTCACATAGATGCTACAGAAAATTAGCTACATAGATCCTCGCCCACCTCCACAATCACCCAGCCTTCCAGAAATGTGTGTGTTGGTGGAGTGCAGGAGTCTCCTGCAATTCCACAGTGATCTGCTTCTGTCTATGCTACCTGCAGCAAAAAGAAAGGGAAAAAGCAAGTACCACTTGAATAGGAATTCAGTCATAACGTTCTAAATGTACCCAACTTATGGCTTGGGGCAAAACTCCCAGATCTGTCACAGCCAGAACGATAATTACATTCTGAGTGTTTGAAATCTATTCTGCTCATCGTCTGCCCTGTGCAGGGGCTCTGGCATTCCCAGAGACCAGGAGGAAGAGCCACCAGTCAAATAGCTACCAGCTTCCAACTCGAACATCTTCAGAGGTAGGTAGAGGTCAGAGTCTTGGGGCTAGAATTGGGAACTTGCAAACACTTTTGTTTGTGGTTTGGTTGGATGAGTTCCCTGTCTAAATCATGCCTCCAGATCACGCCAACCCTATGCCTATATGGAAGAAATTATTGTCCTTTTTGTTCAAATGGAGAAACTAAGAGAGAGAAAGATGACGTGGATAGACACTGTGTCCCTTCATGCATGATACCCTGACAAGGATACTATGTATTGATTACGTAATATTCCCACTGAGCATGTATAACCTGAGTCTAATCATAAGAAATTTCAGACAAAGCCCAAAATGAGGAATGTTCAACTAAAAGAAAAGTTTGGCTCTGCTATTCAAAAATTTCAATGTTGTATAAGACAAAGGACATTACTGGGTGAATTTGTAAAATGGAATACTGATAGTAGCTTAGATAAGTGTATAAAAGTATATTTTGTCAATGTTAAATTTAATGAAATTGATAATTGTGCTATGATCACTCACCAGAACTAATTCCAAAAAGGTTAAATAGTTAAAAAAAAAAAAAAAAAAAGACCACAATAAAGTCAACGAGGTCAATGTTTACTCTTCTGGAGAAGAAAAGAGAGTCTGAGCTTAATAATCAAAATAGCGGCCATTTATTTTGTGCATTCCATGTGCCAGACCCTATGCGTGGTACTTTCTACACTCAACATTTGCAATGTGGATTATAATATCACCTCCATGTTACAGGTAGGGAAACTGAGGCTCTGAGAAGTTAGGTGGTAGGCCAATTTCAAAATTTCAATTAAGCTCAATGCGTTGGGGTCAGGTTTCAAGCCCAGGTCTCTCTGATTCCAATGCACATGTTTTGTTCTCTGTCTTATATGATATTGACAGTCTTCAGTGTGGTAACGAGTGGGAGGGAATTTCCCTTTTATGGTGAGACAAGATGAGCATCCTATTTGCAGAATAAACCAATTTTAATGGAGAAGAAAACTGGCAACAACTATGTAGGGTTCGTAATAGGCAGTACCCTTTACTCAGGACTTCTGGAGCTAGACATTTGTGCTCTGAAGCTAATACTGGATTTAACTGAATTTCAGTTGCAATATTCCTACTGACACTTTTTCCTAATGAAGAGAAATTTTCAGATATTACAAATTTTCAGATACCTGATGATCAATGAGGAAGTATGAATGCTATATGTAACTAGAATATTGGGAAAATATTCACAGAGAGTGTTATTGATAGTATGGTGAAAAGCTTGTCCTTTGTCTCATTTAAATTTATTTATAAAAGCTACTTTTTTTCCCTACCTCCCTGTGAGACCTTGGGTGTAGAACTTGACTTTTCTAGACTTTAGAATATACAAAAAGAGTCTGAGCCCATGCAATAGTCAAAATACTAAAATTGAATTGAGGGGCGCCTGGGGGGCGCAGTCGGTTAAGCATCCGACTTCAGCCAGGTCACGATCTCGCGGTCTGGGAGTTCGAGCCCCGCGTCAGGCTCTGGGCTGATGGCTCAGAGCCTGGAGCCTGTTTCCGATTCTGTGTCTCCCTCTCTCTCTGCCCCTCCCCCGTTCATGCTCTGTCTCTCTCTGTCCCAAAAATAAATAAAAACGTTGAGAAAAAAAAAAAGACTTTTAAAATTGAATTGAAATTGTGGCTTCCCCCACACCAAGAAACCTGCAACTGGGGAAGAGAGTGGACAGTTTCCTCTTCTCCTGCAGCTGGCTAAGTGCCATTTTGGAGGTGGGAGGAGAGAGAGGAGGAGAGGGGGTCAGGATGGTTCTTTCTGGCAGGGAGGATTGTACCTTTGTGCTTTGTGCTTTCTGGGCTTAGTATTGCTTAAAGTTTACTCTATTGTGGGTGGTTTCAAGGATTCTTTGAGTTTTCCCCCTACTCCAACTGATGCAAGTTTCTCACCTGTGGTTCTCTTGATATGGCGGAATCTACCTCCTTTCTGATACCTTTCCCAGGCCCTAGGCATCTGGCTACTCACTTTCTACTTCTTTATGCTGAGGTCCCCTGGCCTTCCCAGGCAGCCCGCCTGACATGAAGCTAGTGCAAACCTACACTGGCTTTCTTCCATATGTTGCCTTATCAAATGCCATAGCACAAGCTGTAGTCTCTTGCTTGTGGCCATAGGTCATTTCAGCCAGTGTCCTACCCTTTGTTTCTCTGGTGTGACTCAGACACCTGCTACTATGTCTCCACAAAACCTTGGGGGTGCATAAAAAGCTCTATGGGAGGTATTCTTAAAGCCTTTCTGGTGACTTGGAATTAAAAGAGCACAGCAGTTGGGGCACCTGGGTGACTCCCTCAGTTAAGTGTCTGACTCTTGGTTTCAGATCAGGTCATGATCTCATGGTTCTTGATTTTGAGCCCTGCATTGGGTTCTGTGCTGACAGTGCGAAGCCTGCTTAAGATTCTCTCCCTTTCCCTTTCTCTCTCTACCCCCTCATCTCTCTCTCTCTTTCTCTCAAGGTAAATAAACTTTAAAAAAGAAAATAAAAGAGCACAGCATTCTTTAAAAATGAGAGAGAAAAATGGCCAAAAAGTGGTTGGTGACTCTTAAAACTCTGACTTTTTTAAAGGTAGAAAATGACTAGGAATTTGACATATTTTTTTGCAGGTGATTTTTGAGCACATCTTCTTGAAAGTACAAGTTGATGTCTTGTGTGTATATATATATAATATATATATATATTATATATATATATCATATATATATAAAGTCAAGCCAGATAGCCTGATTTCAGCTTTATGTGCACATATAAAAGATAGAATAACATACACCAATATAGTGGGGTTACTAGAAATATTTCATTGTCTTCTTTGTATTTTTTTGTTTTAAGAATTTTGTAAGCTGGATCTAAATTATCTTCTAATCAAGGGAAGACAGCACATTTTTAAAAACACATTTTCAAAATAATTTTTTTTTCTGCAAAAGGAAGGCACGAAGTGTGAGATGGAGAGAAACCTTTTAGCAAAGCCAATGTTCAGCTTAGGTGTGTGCCTTTTGCCGAGTGGGTAGAGGCAAGGAGGAATGAGTAGACAAAGAGTAAGGAAATTCTACGAGCACGTCTTCTTGCTTCACAACTCTGTTTATACTTCTTGGTCTCCAGCAGCAACTGGAAAGGGGAAAAACATCCTGACAGTGTATATTCAGACACATACGGTCAGCATCATGAAGCTCTGGACGCCTCAACTCATGACATTCCTCTGTATGGTGCTACTGTCTGTGCTGGGAGTGATAAAAGAAAAACACAGCTGTAGGTGACTAGGCTGGGCTGGGGAGTCAAAGGGGTGGGGGGTACTGTGCTTGTTCCTGGATAAGTGAAGGGGTATTGTGTCTAGCACATCTGACTCAGGACTCAGGACCTTCCCTGGAACACCTAGTGGAGATTCAGAGACTTTCTTACACACAGAGTCCAAGAAGTGTCCAAGTTGAGGTCCTTTGATGCTTCCTCTCCAACCTTGAAAGTGGCAATGGGTACCTGTCACCTTTTATGTACATTTCATATGTTATAAGGATATAATATTTTCCCATGTCAGGCTACCATAATTTTTTGTACTTCCAGAAGCTCTGTGTCTTCACTTGTGTGTACTTTAATGAGTCCCATATGGGGATTTCTTAATATATACACTTAGTTTCAGTGGCAGGATCTTTCTGAATATGAAAAGTTAGAGAAGAGACATGAGATGTGGCCCTAGTGGGGCAAAGTTGGGGGCCATGTGACGAGAAAATGGAATCAGTCGAGGGTACCAAGAAAATTGAGTGAGAGAGAGAATTTGGTGAGAAGCTGTTCTTAAAGGTGGAGTCAGCAAGGAAGAGAAGAAAAAGAGAAAGAATCTGTTCCTTACTCTCCCTGGTCTGGCTTCCCACACTAGGAATTAAGTATGGTAATAAGGCTAGAGGCTACCTTGGGCCCCTCCTATTACAGAAATGTAGATTTTATAGGACGACACATGAACATGGGGAGTATGAGGAGTCCTGTCTCCAGGATGCTTGATGAGGGCCCAGAGGTCTGTGGGAGCAGAGAAGGCAGAGATCTGTGAAGACACAATGAGGAAGCTCAGCAGGGGGATTTTCTCATAAGGCAGATGGATAGTCAGGTGGGGCTTGGTGGGGCTTTGATTCTAGGAGGGGCTGTTAAGCTCATGAAGGACTTCTCTTCCCACCTTGGCTATGTAGCCCCTGTGAGCCTCTTCCCATCTCATCTCAATTACAGGGGCTGAAATGTTACTTGAGGAGTGCTGGGGACAGCCAAATGTCCTTGAATGCACCAAGAAGTGTTCTGGAACCTTTAAATGTATAAACAAAAATCACACATGCTGCTGGACCTATTGTGGAAACATCTGCTGGAAAAATAAAGTGAGTTGGGAGGTGTGTTTGGGCATGGATCTTCACTGATTCTCAGATGCTGTTATTCATAAACAGAAGACCGAAGCACCCTAAATTCTAGGCACAAAAATAGTGGAAGACAATGTACCCTAAACCTGGACAGCAGTTCACTGGCAAATAAACCAAGATACCAGGTTGGGGCATATTGTTCATTATATAATCAATGCCTATGTTGTTCTCATTATATTGCTCAATTGTTTGCTCTTTTCCTGATTTTTGTCCAAACTTCTAACCATTGCCTCTATAGTCAGACCTTTCTGTGAGCCCTTTTGGCTCAGCCTGGCCCCAAATCTCTATGTTTCTCTGTTCAATGAACCAAACCCACCTCCCCACCTCAGAAGTGGACTTTTTCTTGTTACAAAAAGTACTCCTGTCCCAGGGTCTGCCATAGATGGGTAATATTAAGCTTGGGAATGAATGCTTGTTCCTCAGAGTTCCCTAACCTCTGAGTGTATAACCTTTCTGTCTTACAGGAAATCTTTGAAAGACATCTAAAACCCTAATCTCCCAGCTGGACACCAGTCTGTTCTCACTGAGGGCTGGGCAGGAGCAAATCCTTGACAAATAAACTCATTTATCAACAGTGGCTTTTAGCTTTTTCAACTCCATTTCACTACTTTTTTTTTTAACTTTATTTTTTATTTTTTAAAATTTACATCCAAATTAGTTAGCATATAGTGAAGCAATGATTTCAGGAGTAGATTCCTTAATGCCCCTTACCCATTTAGCCCACCGCCCCAACAGATCTCAATGCCTGGCCTCCCTGGGCCCTCTCCATTGTCTGCAGCCAGGAAACTGTATCCCTTGTAAGTCATGGCTTGGGTGAAGCTACCCCCCATAGAATCTACATTCTGAGAACTCAGCAAAGTCTGAGACATCCCGCAGACCCTCTCACTCCCCAGGATTTGCAGGGTCCAGAGAAGAAGATGACCTGTCACTTTCCCCCCTCTCTCCTGTGCCTGTCACTGTGTCCAGGACCCCTGCCCCTTCCCAGAAAATACCACTTGCGCTATTTCCCTTCCGCTGCCACCATCCCGGTCCCTCTGATGAGAACTTCGACTTGACTGTGTACACCCCAAAACTTATTTTCCCAGGGCCCTTTCTTTCTGTACCCATTCCCATCAATATTACTGGATGTTTACAGGTCACAGAAGTACAGAAATCCAAGAATAGTTGTTTGGTTTCCCCAAGTGATTCTCAGCCCTGATGTACCTTTCACTACTGAGTGTACTGTTTAGTGTCTGGGTACTTGGGATGGAGAGTCAAAAGACATAGTTTCCCCCTCCACTCCCATCAGTGTTCCTGGTGCTACGTAAAGGGGCCAGAGGGCTATCGTTTGGGAAGACCCAGAATCTTCATAGTGCTGTGGTCAGAGTGATGAGGGACCATAAGGCAGGCTGAGGGCCAAGCACAAGCTAGCATTACCCCCCACCCCCAGGTGGGATATGAGATATTCCTCAGACACTCCTAACTGCACAAGTACAAAGGAAAGGACAGAAAACAAATGACTGATAGAGATCACAGTCATACAGGACATGGGTCTCCATCAGTTTACAAATATCTTAGTAAACTAAAATTTAAATAAATTTAAAAAATTTAGCAAATTTATCAATAGCCTAGTCTCTAGAAACCTATAGACTCAGTTTCCTGGAGTCCCTAATATCACCCTCCCCTCCATAGTGATGTGGGGAAGGATTAAAGGCAAGAAGGAAATGGCAGGTAAAATTAAATTTCTTTATAACCTGCAGCCCATCGACAAGTACTTGAGGCAAATATAGAGTAGTACATTTCTCCAGGAACATTTGTCCTAGAAGGCCCTACCACCTTAATGCTTTGCTAGAGGGAAAAACAACCTTAGCTTGACAATAGCTAGGCCTCCAGTAATCTGTGAGTCTTTAGCTTATGAAAGTCTCTTTGCAAACTTCCCTTTTGACTTTACCTCCCCCAAGTCCATGGTTCTACACAACCCCAGTGAAGCTCTTCCTGCCCACTGGTCCTGTTCCCGTGCTTTAATAAAATCACCTTTTTGCATCAAAGACATCTTCAAGAATTCTTTCTTGGCTGTCGGCTCCAGACCCCACGAACCCCACCATCACCCCAAAACCTCATCAAGAGCAGAATGTGCTGAAAGGCTCCAATTCCCAGGTCTCCCTCAGAAGGGACACAGCCCCTCCTGGCTCCCTTCCCTCCCCACCCCCTTAGTCCATCACCTATTCTGCATCCTGTTCAGTTTACGGTGCCCTCCCTGGGCCTGTAGCAGCAGCACAGAGAGGAGAAGGATGGGCAGCAGAGCCTGGGTTGGCATGACTCTGGCCAGAAAGGAGAGCTCTCAGTCTGCCACAGGCTTCTCTGGAGAGCTGGGTGGTTATCCTGGGCCCTTCCTGCTTCCACTGGCCGCTCAAGGGGCCTTTTCCCCCATCCCCTATGCCTGTACCTGACCATGGCCTGTTCTCTGGGACTTGGGCTTCTGCAGACAAGTCCTCCTCTCACGTGACTAAACCCCTCCCTTGCAAACAATTATTTTCTACTTTAATTATAGTGCCTTAGAGCTCAGAGTTATCCAAAGCACAAAGACTCAGGGGCTCAGGGCTGGGCTTTGTTTTGACCCTTAGGGATAAGAAGGACTTGGAACTGGAACTGGATTGAGTGAGGGTGGTTATTCCTTCATGACAAAAGAGGTAGAGAAGAACAAAAGGTTAGGGACCCTCAAAGGAAGGATCAGGGAAGGAAAGCATTTTCCTCTTGGATATCCAGGATATTACAGGGGAGGAAAGCAATTTTTCCTCTACCCTTCTGGGTTCTGGTTTGAAACCCCCCTGCAGTAAAAGACAGATTAGCAGGAGAAAAACAAACTGAATTTTCCTAACGTGTATATACCTCCAATATACGTGGGAGAGACCAGGAAAACTGAGTAACTTCCCCAAGTGGCTCAAATGATCTCCTCAAAACCTGCTTCAGCTGAAGACAAAAGATGTGGAAAGGAAGGGGAAGACCAGTTATGGGAAGTCACCAGGAAAGGCACTAAGAACAAAGGTATGGTTGTTATGCAGATTTCTGCTACAGGCTCCATTGACAAAGGATTTCTAGGGGTTGAAAGTCACCCTTCTTTTCCACTTAACAGAGAGGAAGACACGTCTACAAATGGAGACTTTCCTCATACGTGTAAATGTTTCTTATGAGGGGGAGCAAACTTTGCCAACCCAAGATCTGCCTCTATGGCATATTGATTATTTTACGCTGGTTATTTTTAAGAAATAGCAGACACAGGTGAAACTCTGAAAACTGAATAGAAGTTACCATTTTGTAAGAGATTGCTTAATGTAATCCCGGGCCATTGAGAGATGGAAGGGAGAGAAGATGTGTTGCTCCAGGTGAAGTGTTGCTTCAATTTGGAGTTTTGACTTTCTTATTTCCAGACACCTTCTATTTCCCTCCCTTTGAACATCTCAAGGAATTTTGTTCAGTTCATCTGGAGTATTCCAAAAAAGGAAATAACTTTAAGGGAGACAGTTCCTTGACAGTCCGAATATCAGAACTGTATACTTTTTGTCTCCTCCTTCTCTTTCTACTTGAGTGCCCATGTAGTAGGAGAGTAGAGCCAAAGAATGCATGCCCAGCTGTAGATAGTACATCCTAATCATCCTGTAAGTAGTTGCTTTTCCTCTGAAGGGGCTCCACAATTCCTCAGCCTCTGCCCCAGCTTGTCTGGTCTCCAGGGCCATACACAGCAGCACCGGGGACTTCACTTCACCATCATGGAGGCACTTCAATTCCTCCCGGAGTAGGAGCCCATTTCCTAGATCCCTCCTCTCCCTTTTTCTTGAGGACCTCATTTTGGTAACATACACTCCACTGGAGCTTCCTGAGAGAGCGTGTGAGAAAGAAGTAAAATAGAGACTTTTAAGCCTCCATTCTACATTACCATATACTTCGGTTGGTATTTCAGTTCAGATTAGTTTTGAGCACATGATGACTACAACAACAAAGAAAATAGTGGCTTAAATAAGATAGGTCAATATTTGTTCACATGGAATATTCAGGATTTAGGTGTCCCAAACAAGTGTGGAGACACCACAAAACGATGGAAGATCCAGGCTGCTTTGCCTCTTTGCTCCATTGTCCTTGGCATGAAGTTTCCATTTCCAAGCTCACCTCATGACCTACCAGGACTAAACAAGATATGAAATATCACCCTCAGCCAAGAATAAAACTCAGACAGTTAATTCAAATGTTAAATCAAAGTAAGAAAATTCAAACCATAGCCAAACTAGATGGAAATGGAATATAGTATTACTCAAAACTGGATGAGGAAAGACTCTGTGGACTTAATAATAAATATGGTGTTGTGGTGCAGCATTTAAAAATTTTTTAACGTTTATTTATCTTTGAGAAAGAGAGAGAGAAACAGAGTGCAAGCAGGGGTGGGGTAGAGAAGGGGGGAGGCACAGAATCCGAAGCAGGCTCTAGGCTCTGAGCTGTCAGCACAGAGCCTGACACGGGGCTCAAACCCACAAATCATGAGATTGTGACCTGAGCTGAAGTTGGAGGCTTAACTGACGAGCCACCCAAGCACCCCCATGGTGCACCATTTAAAAAAAAATATTAATCTAGATCCTGTTTTTTCTACTTTGCAATTCCTTATTTTTCAATCAAGGCCTTTGACCATGAAACTAGAACATGAAGCTGAGGTTTATTTCCCCAGGGAGAAGGGATCACAAAATAAACCAGTGAGGATAGTCATGTTCATGGATGTGAGGTCACAAATAGTTTTGAAAGCCATTACTGGTCATTGAGAGAGAAAAGTTGTTTCTCTATGTTTGTCTTGCGTTTGAAATAACAAAGGCTCAGCTTTGGCCATCATGAGTGTGGAGTCATTCCATAACCTCAGAATTCGGGAAAAAGCTAAATAATGTAAGAATAGATCTTGTCCACTGGGATGGTATAAGCACTTGGAGAGAAAGGTGGACACCAGAAGACTGGGTTAGGATAGAAACAGAAACATCCAGATAGGTTAGAAATCCCAACACAAAAACAGGTCCACCAGGTAAACAGGGTATTTGAATAGGAATATTTGTTTCCTATGGCTGCTGTAACAAGTCACCACAAATTTAGGAGCTTAAACCACGCAAATTATTACCTTACAGCTCTGTAGGTCGCAAGTGCCACACAGGTCTCTTCTGATTGCAATCAAAGTGTCAGCAGGGCTGCGCTCCTTTTGCATTTCCTCTCTAGATGGAAGGACCCATGTCTGTGTTCATTTATTTATTTAATTTTTAAAAATGTTTATTTTTGAGACAGAGAGAGAGAGAGAGAGAGAGAGAGAGAGAGAGAGAGAGCATGAGCGGGGGAGGGGCAGAGAGAGAGGGAGACACAGAATCCGAGGCAGGCTCCAGGCTTGGAGCCGTCAGCACAGAGCCCCACAAGGGGCTCGAACTCGTTAACCGTGAGATCATGACCTGAGCTGAAGTTGGACGCTTAACCGACTGAGCCACCCAGGCATCCCCTGTGTTCATTTAGATCGTGGGCAGAATTCAGGTCCTTGATGTTATGAGCCTGAGGTCTCCGTTCCCTTGTCTGCTGTCAGCTGAGGGCTGTTTTCAGCTTCTAGAGGCCACTCACATTCCTTGGCATGGGCTGTGTTCCTCTCTCTGCAGAGCCAACAAAGGCCAACTGGGTCCTCATGCTTCAGGTCTCACCTTCTTCTGCAGGCCTCTGACTCACTGCAGTCAGGAAACATGCCTGCTTTCAAGGACTCATGGTTATACCCGTCCCATCTGCCTCCCATCTCAAGGTCCCTGCTCTTCACCGTGCCAGGTCAGGTTGTCCCAGTTTCCAGGGACTAAGACATGAGCATCTTTAGATGGGCCTTTATCCTGTTTACCTCTGCTTGCACTTAAAACCTCACTAAAATGATGAAGAAGAAAAAACCCCCCACCTTAAGAGGTGAGGAAATGGTAAATGAGCATTTTCAAGGAATTAAAAGCTGGAAAGCAATGGCTAACTAGTAAGTATCTTACTTCATTAGAAAACATAAACCGTCCCTCCCCATATGTTCATCTGTTTTGTTTCTTCAATTTCACATATAAGAGAAATCATATGGTATTTGTCCCTCTCTGATTGACATATTTTGGTTAGCATAATACATTCTAGTTTCATCTACATTGTTGCAAGATTTTATTCTTTTTGGTGGCTGAGTAATTATCTATTTATCTATCTATCTATCTATCATCTGTCCCCCACATCTGCTTTATCCATTCATCAGGAGAGCACTGGTGATGAGCACTGGGTGTTTTATATAAGTGATGAATCACTAAAATCTACTCCTGAAACCGAAACCAAAACCAAAACCAAAACCAAAACCAAAACCAAAACCAAAACCAAAACCAAAACCAAAACCAAAACCAAAACCCAACACCAGGGGCGCCTGGGTGGCGCAGTCGGTTAAGCGTCCGACTTCAGCCAGGTCACGATCTCGCGGTCGTGAGTTCGAGCCCCGCGTCGGGCTCTGGGCGGATGGCTCAGAGCCTGGAGCCTGTTTCCGATTCTGTGTCTCCCTCTCTCTCTGCCCCTCCCCCATTCATGCTCTGTCTCTCTCTGTCCCAAAAATAAATAAACGTTGAAAAAAAATTAAAAAAAAAGATTATAAAAAAAAAATAAAAATCTGGATAGATATGATGCAGGTAAAGTCGAACTGTGACTTTTAACCTCTCCAATGTGTCCACACTTAGACTGTTTTTTTCCCAACAGTGTGATGGAACATCTCTGTTACACGTCCGGACTTCCACAAAGCTTGTCATTTGTGGGTGATTGTCTAAATAAGGGTTCTCCCCTGGCTCCTGGACTGTGGCCAAGAGGGGAGAGTGCCAGTTCACAGGCCACTTCAGGGTGTCATGCCAAGACCGAGGTCTCTATGCCTATGACCCAACCTATGGGTGAGACTCCTTCACCTCCCTTCATGTACGGAGCTTGATCCCACAGCTTCCACAGAGGTACTTCTGTCTGTGGGTGGATGCCAAATTGTTGTAGGGGGACGATTCAAGCAGGCGTGTCTTATTCAGCCATCTTGCTGATGTTACTCCCTAAAAATACCTTAATGGAATTGAGGGATACAAAGTTAGTGTATCTCCAAAAGTTGTAAATTAAGTATGCTTTAAAAATGAAATGTGCTGTTATCATTTAGGAGCTAATTCTTGAGAAACACAGAAAACATAGGGGAAATTCAGGCTTAGAAAAAATTGTTCCACTTCAAAGTTTGTGATCAATTTTTAAAAGTCTCTGGTGATCTTTGGGGCGCCTGGGTGGCTCAGTCGGTTGGGTGTTCGACTTCGGCTCAGGTCATGATCTCGCGGCTTGTGGGTTTGGGCCCTGCCTTGGGCTCTGTGCTGACAGCTCCGAGCCTGGAGCCTGCTTCAGATTCTGTGTCTTCCTCTCTCTCTCTGCCCCTCCCCATCTCTCACTGTCTCTCAAAAATAAGCATTAAAAAAAACTGTTTTTAAAAGTCACTAGTGATTTTTAAACTTTACTTTCCTTACATTTGATATTCTTTAATGGCTCTTAAAATACAGCAAAATACTTTTACAATAAATACCTGTTTTTTTTTTAATTGACACATCAATTCTAAAGTTACCTTTCATGAAAGGCAAATGACCCTATTATCTGACTAGCTAATGGATAGCTTATCGTATCTTATTATTTTTGTTGTACTTTTCTGTGTTTTTCAAATTTCTAAAATAAGAAATGATAAACTTATGAAGAATTCATTTCTTTTTTTTATTTTTTTATTTAAAAAAATTTTTTTAAACGTTTATTTATTTTTGAGACAGAGAGAGACAGAGCATGAACAGGGGAGGGGCAGAGAGAGAGGGAGACACAGAATCTGAAACAGGCTCCAGGCTCTGAGCTGTCAGCACAGAGCCCGACGTGGGGCTCGAACTCATGGACTGTGAGATCATGACCTGAGCTGAAGTCAGACACTTAACCGACCAAGCCACCTAGGCGCCCCATGAAGAATTCATTTCTGCAATGAGAGGAGTAGAAAGCATAAGGAGAAGGCAAGTAGCTCAGGAGACACCCGTGCCCAGCCAAGGAGTGGTGCGTGGAGGAGAGGAGGCAGAACCAGAGGGGGCAGTGAGAGACCAGTCACGTGTTTTCCACACCCCAAAGCCCTTCGCTACCCCCAGCAGGACCTGGTGAAATCCTGGGTCTCCTGCCAGGCTCACACTCAGACATCCCGAGTTCACATCATGAAGGGGTTGTTTCTCCAGCTGCTGATACTCTACGGCCTGGTGATCTCGCCAGTGGCAGGAAGTCTTAAAGACAAAACTAAGACTACAGCCAAGCCTCCAAAATACAGTAGGTATTCTGGTTGAGCTTCAAAATGAAGAAGAGGTTGAAAGCAGAAGAAACAGGGACTGACTGACATATATGAAAGCATTGGTTCCTTCTTTAAGCCAGGATGCTGAGAAAAGTTGAATGTGCACTTCTCAAGTTTGAGGGTCTCTACTGTTTCATGTAATGATGTTTTTATGTGTGATGCGGGGACTGTGGTGGCTACATGGTGTTTTGTTGAGGAGGACCTTAGCGGTGGAAAGCTCCACAGGGTACAAAGCATGTATGGAGGGTGCCAAGATTGAGCCACCACGAGTTCGTGTCCTCCAGTCGGGAGTTCCAAGGGTGAGTACCACATTGGGAAAAGGGTACTAAGTATTTCTTGAAATATGCCTGTTGCTTGGGGAATTGGATATTTTGGAACATTGGGCATGGGGAGGAGAAATAAAATGTGTGCTGGATTAAGAGAAGTTTGGAATCCTTGGGTAAAAGAATTGAAATCAGCACAATTGAGGAGAGAGTTGTGGTTTCATATCTGGTAGCAAAAGTTTCTGAGGAACAGCTAGGTTTGGAGGGCTGTCTCACCCAAACACAAAAAGTACAAGACAGTTCTTTTTTCTCTGTAATCCATTCTCCCAACCCTGTAAAATGAGAGCAGGTGGCAAGAGGATCTCTTGGGTCTCTTTGTTCTGAGAATTGTGTTTCAGGACTCAGGTCCTGTGATGTTAAATTCCACGGAGGTGAGTTCACAATTGCTGGGTTTGTTAGGGGGTGGGAGATGGATTTTGACTCTAGGAATGGAAAAGGCTACCAGATCGCTGTACAGGTAGAAGAGGAAGAGAAACCAATGGAATGGGTCCTGGGGCCTTACAGGGGCTGATAACAGTGAGAAAAAGTCTTCTTCTTGGAGTCATTGCTAATGTGTTCCTTCTCAGTTAAACCAACACTGAAACTATCAATATACATGGAAGTTCCCACCTACTCTAGTTGCCAAAGAAATTGTGAATATTACTCAGAGTGTGGTTTCCGCTATGAATGCTGCTATTCCGGTTATGGAAAAATCTACATGAAAATTCCAAACACTGATAGGATCTAACAAACACCCCTCTCTCGCCATTCAGTTGTCAAAAACTATGCACCCCCTAACTGAAGGGATGGACAGAAGGAGAATATGCCTCCCTCGTCCTGTTAACCAGTCCACCTGGGGACCCCCACTTTTTTATCACACCCCAAGCCCCAGTTCTTTACTTGCAGACTTACCTAATTTAGCCAAACCTCAGAAGGTCTGACATTTATGTGTCTTTGCTCACTGGACTTAAAACATCGGAGAGAAGCCTTGTGTGAGCATCTCCTAAGTCACAGAAAATATTCTTGCCCCCAGGGTTTGGGAAGATGTTACACTTAAAGAATGTATTTCGCCAGACTGTGTGACCACTGACTACCCTCCCCTTCTCTCTTCCAGAGATCAGCACTGAGAACTATGCACCCAACCCTTGGCCGGAAGTTACTATATATCCCATAACCATCCCTGAAAGCCAGGAACAGACACCAGAGGGCCATCAGAATAATACTGCCTGATGTCCAGTGGGACCTTCTTCTCGTTGCAACTGGAAAGCAGGGAGAGGGTGGAGGAGGGTGGGTCCCAGGAGAATGTCTCTCCTACTTGACAGCACTCTTCTCTGAACCATTATATCATCAGCCTCAATTCCTTGACAAATAAACTATGGCAGTAACCCAGAACCTCTGTCTCTTGCTCTTTCGTCCAAGGACAATTCACTACCTCCACCTTTAACCTAAGTCCCCAATCCCTGCCTCCCAGTGCATTTCCCACCTTCACAACTTTCAGAAGCTTGTTCTCCTTAGCCAAGACGACTGAACTCTCTTAGTTCATTGATTAACATCCCTGCGGAAAACTGCTTATGTGTGGGATGTTCTTTTGGCTATAGGAAACACTGTCTCTCTGGGTTCCCCATACCTTGGTGCAGCCTTTCTTTCCTTATTTCAGGCCAGTGCTTCTAGAAGGGTCCTACAAGTGGCCTCCCTTTTAACTAATCCAGGGAAGTATAATCTTCCTTAAAGGTGACCATGCCCATGGTTTACAATTGAAAGGAAATGGCATCGGCCTCTCCAAGCTGTTCTCTCTGACCTCATTTGTTACCATTATTTACTCAATCACTTGGAACGTGGAGGAATTTTTTCAAATTTAAATACTCCTAGAGAGCCTACACTGTGCTCAAACTGTGGCAAGGGCCGCTCCTCATGAGTGCAGGTGTGACCAACTCTATCTGTTGGCATATAGCCCAAGGAAGGGTTAAGTCTTAGGACAAGGAAGCAGAAACCAGGTGGGGCAGGCAAGAAGGGATGAGTGGGGCATATAGTCAGTGCCTTAAGGTATAAATACCCTGAGGTTGTTACATGTCCAGGTCATGGTGTCAGGTTTCCTGGAAGAGGAGATGCTTGGTCCTACCTTGAGAGATAGAAAAGAATTGGGGTAGCTCAGAATGAAAGTTAGTTTCCTCCATGACAGGGTTAAATATGGACTTGGGGGGAAAGGAAGGGAACTTGAGGGAAATGAAAGGTTGAAACCCTATCCTCCTCCTGCCCCCAAAACCAACAGGTGAAGTTGCAGACAAGGTTGGATTATGGATTTGGTATTAAGCTCTATGACCCTCGCATATTCAAACTGCCAACTTTTCCTTTTGGGTCCCTGTTGTTATACCCATAAAACCTGCAGAGCACAAGTATTGTTTGCTAAAATTAACAGAGGAAAACAAACAGACACAGACAGGTGGCTGAAACTACTCAGTCTGCTCTGAAGGTTGATGACAAACAGATACGTAGACTTCAGTGTCCCAGTGCCCCTGTACTCAAGTTTCCTGAGATATATACAAGTTAAGGGCCAGAGATGTGCTTAAACAGGGGTTCTAGTGGGAA